GACTCCTCCTTTACCTGGTCTGCATGGGATCAGAAAACCTGCACTGTGGCCTGTCCTGTCCTCTACAGGGGAACTTCAGCCCCAGTCAATTAATTCTGCAGGACTTGGGGAGGCTGGGTGGAAGGGCACAAAAGAAGTTCCTTCGCCTTCTAGAAGCTTCCATGGCATCCACAGGTAGTAGCTTACTTCAACTACCCCTCTGGAGCCCTCTCTGTGGCTGGAGCTCAGAGCTACTCCCTTCCATCTCTCTCCCCAGCCACCCCCAGACCATGCCGCCAGTGGGGGGCCAACGAGGGAGCTCTGTCTCCTGCCTACATCCACCTGGCATCCTTCCATAGATCACGGAGCCTCCCTACAGGTTCTTCTCTCAGTCAAAGCTGTCCTCCTTGCCTCTCTTCCACCTCAACGAGATGCATCTGGAAGGGCTGGGGAGGTAATGTGGAAGCTCTGGCGTGATCTCCCCAACTCGGGCCTCCAGTGTCCCAAAGACGAGTCAGCTGGCGCCTTCTGTGCAGTGGGGCCTAGAGTGCCTGTGTGGGGCCTGGCTCCTGAGCTGGTGGGGGGTGAGCCACGGTGGCAACCCTGGGGACTGCTTTCTTTCTTGCTCCTGTTCCCTTTGAAGGGGAGGGACTTCCCAGTGCTGCACCTGTTCCTTTTCTGAGGCAATCCTGAACCCACTCTTTCCCTTGAATCTCCCCCAAGCCATCTGGTTTTCTAACTTCTCCAACTCACCAGCCAGCCATCTTTCTGTTTATCTGTCATTTCTTGTTGGTGAAATAAAGCCTGGCGGCCCATTCTGTGCCCCCAGCCCCACTGCGTCCCCGTGCATATTTCTCTTCCACCTCACTAGAGTGCATGTGAAATTGGGAGTGTGTTCTGTGGATGCCTTTGGTGGTGTGGGTGTGTGGCGTGCTGGTGGCTGCAACATGTGGGACAGCACTGGGGCTTCTCCAAACACAGCACAGATGAGGCCCTAGTGAGTCCTTCCTTCTACCCAGTGGACGGTCACTGGGAGGAGATGCCTGTGGTTTCTGATGGTGGGAGGTGGGGGGGTGGGGGTGGGAGGGGTGCTCCCTACCGGTTAGGGGAGAGAGCACAGATCTGCTGGTGTGTCTGACAGTGATGGAGAGGTGGTGGCTGGGGTGTGGGGATCAGGCCAGTGTCTGTTATACCTGGTCAACGTCTCAGACACCGCTGTCCTCCTCAGGGACCCCTGTTTGGCTGCTTATCTACTTGGGCTCTTTTGAGGTGGGCACACACCCCAGGCCCAGTGTCCTCCAGTTCAGCCCAGGGGTTCCCTGAGGAGATTTGCTGAGGCCAGAGCTTTCATAGCCTAACTCCATGAAAAAAACCCCCAGAGCAGTTTGTGTGTGTTGGGAGGCTTATCCTGTCTTGCAACCTCAGTGCTCACTTAAGGCTGAAATCTGGGAGGACGGGAAGGGGGTCAGGACTACAGGACAGCCCTCTGTAGCTCCATCCAGATGCTGGGATGAAACCAAGAGGCCGAAAGGCCCTGCAGCTGTGGAGACCCAATCAGATGTTGAACACGAACCAGCTCCAGCTGGAAGCAAAGGATACCGTAGTGGGTGCGCTGGGCAGCGTCCTTGCCTCTGAGATGGTCAGGCAGATACAAGCATGGAGTGCCCTCTGCCTGGTTCCTCTCCATCTCCAGTCTCTCTCACTCCCTTGGTTTCATGAACTGGCTTGCTAATTTTGGGGGTGAATCTGAGTTTGAATACAACTTTGTCCAGTAAGCTCTGTAGGGTTAACTGGATCCTCCTTGCTGGGAGATCGCTCCCAGGGAAGCTCTTTCTCTTTGGTTTTCTTTCCCTGCCCAGCTGGAGCCCTGCCTCTTAGGCCATCTCCTCTTTTCCTGTGCAGGGACATTGCCCTGTAACATCCTCTCTCTGCCTGGTCCCCCCATCAGGATCAGTGACTCTTGTTTTCAAAGGAGACTGGCTCAATCATTTATGTTCAAGGTTCCATTTTTACTTTGCGCCCTCACTGCCTCCTACCAAGTTTTCACCTCTTGGTCCAATTCCTACCTCCATCAGGAAGCCCTCCTTGCTTGCTCTAGGCCAGAGTGAGGACTCTCTTCTCTGACTTGCTCCCTCCCTGGTCTGCCATATCTCCTGGGTAGCTTTCAAAGCACCTTTTCAAGTCTGGACCTGCCTCCCTCACCTGTGACCCTGTATCTCCCCTTCAGGTATCTTGAGAATGGCCCTAGAGGCAGAAAAATACCTGTGGTAACTTCTCACTACCCCTCGAGATGGTGAGTTTAATCGGGAAGTCCGAGAAAGGCAGATTTCTGGGTTCTGATGACTGACAGGCAAGGGCTTAGATTCTAGCTCTTCTCATCTTCTCACTGGGGCCTTGCGTGTACGATTAAATAGGGTCAAAAATTTTCATCTCCAAATTTGTGTGGATTAAACACATTTGTTTAAAATCCTGGTGGGTGTCCTGTCCACGGATGGTTGCTTAATGAGAAGATGGGGGCTCAGCGAGGGAGCACCTTGGCCAGAACCCACTTTGTATCTGTAACCCAACTCCTGCAGAAGTGAGACTAGAGCCAACACACACCACAGGAAAGAACGGAGCTTGGTGCTCCGGACTGATCCAGACATGAGGGTGACCTGTCCACATGCATCAGCTAAGGTCCACATTAGAGACTGGCACCCCGAAAGTTCAATAGCCACACTTGTGCACACCCCCCCCCCCCCCCCGCCAACACTTCTCCATCCACGCCCCGCCCTGGACGCCATCTCCTCGGAGAGTGAATGATGCGACCAGAATTTACTTCTAGAAGCATGGGATTTAGAGCAAGAAACTGGGACCCTAATGTGGCTGAGGTGCCCACGATGTCCTGTGGTGGACAGGGCCGGGAGAAACCTTCCTCCTGCCCCCTGACTAAAGGCCCCTACACGTACCCCAAATTCTAAGCAGAAAACACCTCTCTTTGTGCTGCTCCCGAGCACCCAGGTGCACCCACAGAGCAGCTGGAGGGCCTTTGGGCTCACACAGCCTGCGTCCCCAGGGCCTTCGTGAAGCTGCGTCACTTGGGAACAAAGTTCCTGGAGTCCGGATGAGGAAAGTGGGGTCAGGGTGGGAGCAGACCCTGTCTCTTCCTCGGGTTGCTCCTGTTTCTGGCTGCCACTCTTCTCCTTCCAGCTCTGTCCCCCAGTCTTCCCAGCTCCCTCCCATCTTGCCCTCTCCCCACTTTCTTCTGGGTCTATTTCCTCTTCCTCCTTCCCACACCCAGCCCAACTCTCCCTACCCTCTCCTACTCCTATTTCTTTCATCTTTTTCAAAGTTCACCTCTCTCCATGCCTCCCCAAGAAGAAGCATTTAATGGATATTAAATTATTTTAAACCGACTTTCTTTTTTTTGAAATAGCTTGGTGATAATGCTGAGTCAGGACCATCTCCGTGTTTAATATTGAATATGCAATTAATAGATAGATGTTTAGGTTTGGCTCTCCCCCCTCCCCCCTTTTCTACTGCAGGGAGAATAAAAGAGCTGATTAATCTGGTTCGGGGCAAGTGTCAGAGACAAGAGATATATGGGAGAAAGGAGATGAGGTTAGCAACTTGGAATCAGAGAGCTATTGCCTCCCAGGCAAGCAAAGGCAGGAAAGAGTTTGCATTTGAGCTCATCACAGCCTTGCTAGGCAGAGGAGCTCCTGACACCCTCTCTGGGATCTGGCTAGAGCTGTCTCTAGTCAGCTGAGCTGTCTGCTCCAAACTGCTCCCCCTCAGAGGCCTCCCCATGGGGCCTTGCTCATGCCAACCCAACTTCTTAAGGTATGGAACCTTCCCTCCTTCAAGACTATCTCTGTTGGGTCCCACCTCCTTTGAAGTCTCTGGCTGCCCCCACCTAGGGCACCTCCTCTTGGGACTGAGGAGCCACTACTGTCCTGGTTACAGGTCTGTACAGAGTTTTCTCCCCACCAGTAACAGGGACTTGTGGCTACATGACTCGTCCTGGGGGTTGCATGATGGGGTTCCCCTGTGGGCCTGCGTCCTGAAGACAGTCCCCAGGAGAGAGGCCCCTGGCTCTGCTATGAGCGCTGGTTTGGAGCTCAATGTGAGGCCTTGGCAGTCAGCACCCCTCTCACCACCAGGGCGAGGATGTGGGCACTGGGCCTTTGAGGAACCTCTGTGGTTAGAGAAACACAAGTGAGCGGTCTGCCAGGAAAGGGGCAGGCACAGCAGTGTGGGCAAGGTGGGCTTTGCAGGCTTGGGCCTTCGACACCTGAGCTATCTTTACCCTAAGCTAATAGACTCCCAGGGAGGGAGAGTGAAGGAGGAGAGGGCCTTGGATCTGGGCCTGAAAGTGGGCATGGCCATAGACTAGAACACGGGACGGTGGGTGCTTGGCAGAGGAAGCCAAGAATCTGGCCAGGTGGAGCCTCTGCATGTAATGGGGTTGGCTCCTTTCTAGTGGAGAGGACAGCATCTCCCCGTGGGGAATGAGGCCTGAGTTCATCCCCTGAGTGGGATGAAATCATGTCCTCCGCCTCTGTCCCTTCCCAATGTCTCCCTTCCCACCCTATCTATGCCCAGGATCTTGTCCTCCCCACGTCCCACGGAAGGCCCTCTTGGATTCCTCATGCCCCGGCTGGAACCTCCCCAAGGCAGAGCTGCGATCTGTTTCCTCCACCACAGCCTGATACCCTCTCAACTGGCCAAGTCCCATCACAACAGGGTTTTCTGAGACACAGAGGTGGGCGCACCCTTTTGGGAGGGGAGAAGGATTCCCAGGATGTGCTACATGTTTCCTCATAGAAAGGAAGAACCCCACCATCCGGCAGACACCTGTCTCCCCTTCCCCCCATTAAGGTCTCATACAGTCACCAGAACACCACAGCCCTGTCCCAGCTCCCCGTCACGAGTTCCCCAGGGGTCAGGAGGAGGGGGCAGGGAGTCGCTGCATCCCTGTATCAGGGAGAGAGAAGGAGAAAGGGTTGGGAGAGGAGGGGCAGAGACAAGTGGGCCCTCACGTGAAGGGGGCTGGCGCAGGCAGCTACTACCTCCTCGGCTCTCGCTGTCCGCTGGCTTCACCTGGATCGGCCGGTTCATCTGCAACAGAGCACAGGGGCTAGTGTTAGAGCAGGTCAGGGGTGGGGGACAGACACACCCACGCCACGAATACTCAGGTGCTCACAGGTCCATAGGTACATAGACCACCCACCCCACATTTGCCCCACATTGCTGCACCCCTTGACTATGAAATCCCCAGAGCCCCTTGTTTCAGGGGAATCTCTCTGGGTAGCAGGCCCTGGGGTGACCCCCTCCCGATGTAGAGCAACTCTTGCTGGCTTGGGCTATGAGAGTCTGAGCACACCTGTGGCCCGTCCTGGCTCCCAGGAGCCAGCCTGCTTGCATTTCTCATTTCCGATAGCTGAGATGAGCCGGCCTCTGGGATAGGACTGACCCTTCCCAGGCCTCCGCTTTGGCACCCAGTTTCATCCCACCCTACGCCATCCCATGAACATGGACTGCGTGGGTCCTGGGGTGCCAGGAGCTCTAGGCCATCGGCCCCTGGTTGGAGCATAGCTGAGGGCTGGACTCCCGACGGCAGCCAGGGAGGTACCCTTGGGTTGTGTGTGGAGTGGGCACAGCCACCCGTCTCCTGGGTGACTGGGGCCCGGAGCCTCCTCGCTCCAGGATCCATCGCAATGCCCGTTCACCCCACTAGGGGTCTCTGAGCTCCAAGCTTCAGGACTGTATCCTCCCAGCTGCGGGAAGCTTGGGGTGGGCGCTCTACCCTGAGGTCCCAAGATATTTCAAGCAATCAAAATGGCAGGAACCACACAATGGAATCATACTTTATGTCTTCGCCGGTACTTTGGCCTGTCACGTGCCTCCCTTCTCCCTTACCACCTTTGCATTTCTCTCACAAACACCAACCCTCAAAGACAGGCAGGGGAGGGACCGACACCCCCATTTTTTAGAGGTAGAAGCTGAGGCAGGGCTTTTCCGAGGCAGGATGAGCCTGGGAACCCTGATCGGCCAGGGCTATTTCTGGGTTCCTATCCTGCATCGGGTGACTTTTTGTTGCCAATTCCCTCCTGCACAGAGGCTGGCTAGCCAGTCACAAGCTTCCTTAGGTTTCCTGGTCTAGGATTCGGAGGGAGTTTTAGCTGCGTCAAAAGAACTGGGTGGGGGAGTGTGGGTGCCCGTGACTCAGCAAGGTGAAGGCGAGACCAGGGGAAGGACAGAGCCACCTCCAGGAAGGACAGCAGCAGGAGGCCGGGACAGAGCACAGAGGAAAGGAGGCACAGGTGGTCAGAGCGGCAAGAGAGGACCCCAGGGGCCAGTCCGATGAGACGGGGTCAGGCATCATTGTTGACCATAAGGTCCCTGTTTGGTACCCCTTATGGAGTTGAGGGGTTACTTATTGAGTTACATATTTCGCACGTAAGCGCTGCCTGCAGAAACCGTCATGCTACAGAAAGCTCCAGTCATGGGCAGAAGGAAGAGGGGCATAATGAAGTTCCCAGCTTGTGGGGTCCTGGCTCCCTCACAAACCACCTTTTGTCCGGTTCTTAACCAATTGATCCAGAAGTCTGAGAGGAAGGTCCCCAGGGAGGAGGAGGGGGCGAGAGAGGAGGAGCAGGGCCCCCCTGGTTTCCCACGGGTGCCTTTTAGTACTTGGCATTCAACTCTTTCCCAGGCTGTCTTTCCCTCCTGGAACACCCATTCCTCTTAGTCTCCCCTAAACCTGCAATATTCACCCCCGAAAGGCCCCAAGATTAGACCAGGCCCAGTGCTGGCTATCATCTTCTTTGGGACTATTTCTAGCTTATGCAATTATTGTAATTCTCTAAGATGGGAATATTATCTCTACCATGCAGTGAGAAGCCAAAGCTCAGAGAAGTGGCAGTTTTGGGAGTCAGCCAGAATGGGTGGTCATAGTGCTAACAATACATGTTAGGGGGATGGGCCTTATAATATTTGATGCTGTTTGATCCCAGCTGCTCTGGAAGGGGGCAGGAAGCCAGGGAGAAAGTCCATGAGAAAAATATCCATTTGACAGGGGAATTGGGACCATGTCTTTGGGCCAACCAAATGCAACCTCTTTAGCCTGGCCCCCCAACATGTCCCCTACTAGTAGCATTGCTCCATTCCCCACATCACAACATCTCCCCCTCCCCAGTCTACTCCCTCGACTTGGAATTTCCTCTCTTACCACCAGCTGGCTCCCCTTGACCATGGAGACTTACTGGCACTCCAGTGGGCAGGGTCCACATAGAAGCTATAGTCAAGGCTGGGAATAAGTTGCATGGGGGGGGGTACCCTGGTGCCCTAGGCCCCTCAAAGGGTATGCAACACTGCTACACCAGCAGGTGTCCTCGCAGCTGCTACATACATTATAGTCATGCGCATCTTAATAGCAAGGGTAGGTTCTGCAAAATGCCTTGCTGGATGCTTTTGCATAGTTGCACAAATATCACAGAGTGTAATTAAACAAACCTAGGTGGTATAGTGGCCACACCTAGGCAATATGGCGAAACCTAGGCAATATGGCGGAACCTATGGGGCTACTGTGGTATATGCCATCCATCCTTGACCAAAACATCGTTTAGCAACACCTGACTATTGTTAGATTAGCATTAACTTCCCCTATGGTGTCTGCAAATAGACTAACTTTAACCAAGGAAACAGAGTTTCAGAGAGGTTAACAAACTAGCTTGAGGTCACAGAGGTGATGAATAGTGATACTATGAGTTTCCAGGACTCTTGACACTTGTTGGGGAGATGCTAGGAACCAGGCATTGCGGGCTTAGGCATGATCCATGGGAGATCGAAATGGAGCGGAGCAAGTGAGCAGAGGTGGGGGATTCAGGCTTCCTCAGCACTGGGAGGTGGGGGCACTGCTGAAGAAGGGCAGGCAGAGGTGTGTGAACCAGACCCAGCTGGGTTCTCGAGATGTAGTTGTGGGGGGGAACCCCAGAGGAGGCTCCATCCTGTGTTTGTGTATACTCAGATAGATGCTAAGTGTTTAGGGGTGATATCAGAGGAAAGGCAGGGACTCCTGGAGGACTTCTCCCTGGCACCTCATTTCTGTGTCTGGGGTCCCTCAGAGGGTACATTGCACTATGCCCTTTGAAGATGACCAGTCTTCTCTTCCTAGGTCTACAGGCAGCTGGGCGAGCTCTGGGGACTGACGAGGGCTGGCACAGAGCTGTTTCTGATAGGATAGCTCCCATTTTCCACGGTGAATTAAGCAAGGTCCATGAACTCTCCCTATGCTTCTGGCTTTCCACCTCTCCATGGGGGGTCCCACCCTCAGGCAGGCAGCCATTGTCCCACAGCTCTTGGTACCAGGGTGCTTGTGAATGCTCTGCCCCAGGCTTCCTGACTCGGCCCTTCTCCCTACCACCCCTATCCCCACGCACCCCTACCTACCCTCATGGAGCCCTCCCTGACCAGCCAGCCCTGGACAGCACTCCCACAAACTCCTGCATGACTCAGTATCAGGCTCCACTTTTTACCTTCCTGGTGACAGGGATCAGGACCTCATCCAGCCTCCCATCTGCCTTCTGTCACAGGCCGGGCACCCACGGGATGCTCCAAACAGACTAGCAGGACCAAAATTGAATTGGATCCCATGGACCTGTGGCTCCCGGGATCATTTCTCACATCCCATGATAATATAGGGATGGTCAGTGACCAGACAGCCTGTGCGGGGCTGTCAGAGAGGACCCAGCTAGATGGAGAGATAAAACAGGGCCCTGAGTTTTCTTAATTCTCAGCAGAAATAAAGTGTCAGGCTCAGCTGGGAAGATTTCTCAGCTAGGGTGGGCTCTGTACAGATGCCTGCCTTGGGCCTGGGGAGAGAGCTCCCTCCTTGGGTCGGTGGCTCCCTCCTCTGTTTCCCCCTAGTCTAGTCCCCCAAGGCCTGGTCCTTGAAGAGGGAGGAAGAGTAAGCCTGTCCTGCTGAAAGAAGCTGAGGAAAAGGAGAGGGGATAATGGCCTTCTTTTAACTTTGCACCCCTGACCCCCAGGCCTAGGCCCTAGGACCCTCCTGCTATGCAGGCCCCTGTGTCCTTTGCCAGTGAGCACAGAGCATCAAGGACTATGGAGCCCACTGCTTGGTGCCTTCCCTTTCTCCCATCTCTTGTCCCCCTGTTCCATTGTCCCTCTCAGCCACTGTCCACCCCTTCAGGAGGGCCTGGGACTGGGCTGAGGTGCAGGGGCCTTTCCTGCTGATTCTCTCTGAGGCATCTGGCAGCAGCTCCTCCCAGGCCCCTTCCCCTTGGCTCAGCTCTGCTTCCCCACCCCCTCCCCATCATTGCCACTTTTTGCATCAACACATATCCATGCATTAAACAAGACATTCCATTAATTTCTTCATCATCATAACTTAAGCTGGGACATACCCTTTAAATATTCATTCAGCTATGAAAACTGGGCATTAAAATTTTAATAATGTCAAGCTCATTTGAACCAGCCTCCTTGGGGACGATTACGATACAATTAGAATAAATATGATGATTGAGCTGGTCCAGAGGCTTCACCTGTCTGTCCAGCACGGCTCCCCTCTCCCCATGGAGAGGCTGTGGCTGGCGGGCAGCCAGACAGACTGACAGATCAGTCAGCCCCCAGCACTCTTGACTTTCTCTCCACCCCTACTTCTCCTCACTCGTGACTCCTTTTCTACTGTTTCTGACTTCTACCTCCCGCAGGTGTCTGCATCAGTCTACCACACCTGTGGGCCAGGGCGCAGGGATGACTGCGGTTCAGGGATGTCCCAGCCCCAGTAGGAAGAAGGCTCTGATTAACCCTGACTGTTCCAGTTACTCCTTCCTTGTCCTCCTGGTGCATCCTCACAGGGCTTGTCCTGGCATGAGAGCCATTTTCCTGCATGGCTCCTCTCCCCCAGCCTGCAAGGGACTCCCGGAGGCTGAATGAGTGCCCCACCAGGGCAGGGCCAGACTGTGGAGGGGCCACTGGTCCCTAAGGCCCAGATGTGTTCTGCCACCAGACTCAGAAGGGACTGTCGTCACATGGCTGCCCTTTTGTGGTGACAAACTTCCTGATAGCTGCACCGAGGTGCTAGGGGAGCCCTCTTGGGCCTTCGCAGGCTGACACCTGGAGAAAGCCCCAGCAGCATTCCAGACAGCCCTCAATCACTCTGCACCTCCACCACCTGCCATTCCAGGTACCTGAGCCCTCTGCTTCACACCAGGGCCAGCAAGGCTGACCCAGAACAACTCTAGAAATAACGGGACACTTCTCACTGGTCACCCAAAGTCTGCTCTTGCAGTAAGACTCCTCTGCTTATCTCTCAGTGCCCCTGGCTACACATGACCCTCTATGACTGCTCCTGTGTGTGTGCACGTGAGTGAGGCAGACAGACAGACTGAGACAGAGAGACACTTGGTTCTCAAGAGCAGGGGTCTGATTTCCTACTCATGCACCCCAGACCCTAACTCAGGACTGAGTTCCCTGGAGAGAGAGAATACTTGTGTGACATCATAAAATCCTTTTTATTTTTACATTTTAAAATCTTAAAAAAAAAAACCTCATTTAAACTGGGGATTGGGATTAAGGAGACAAGGGAGGAGGCTGTACAGGGTGGCTCTATGGCGGGCTCTCAGGAGGATCTGCCTCCAGGTTATTTTCTAATCTGTGAAGCAGAAATGCTTGGGGAAGCTGTAGATCTTCCTGACCTTCCTGACAACCTGCAGGGTGTCAGGGCCAGGGAGGATGAGCAGAGATCCTCATGGGGGCCTCGGGGGGTGGCTGAGGGACCCCCAATTGATTCCTCAAATCTGAGGATACTTTCTGGCTCCATTTGGGAGGTGTGAGTGTAGACCAAACTCCCCTCACAGAAGGGCTTACGTCTCCTCATGAAACCTTTAAGGTTTCCCTGAGCAGGCTGGGAAGGCCTGCTCTGTCCCTTATCTCTGTCCCTGCCCGCCAGCTCCTGGGAGTCTTGTGAGGAGAGGGCTGGCTGTTCTTATTCTCCCTGAGAACTAGGTTTATCTGCACAGGATGGTGGTGGATGCAGTGAGGCAGCAGGCCCTGCATGCCAGGGCCCTTGGGACATCTGGGCCCCAAGCTCTGGGAAGAGAGACATCATTTTCAGGGCCCCTGTTCAAAAAGCAAGAAAAGAAGCCTTCTTCATCACTCAGATATAAAGCTGTTTCCTTTCTTCCGTAGTCCTCGCTCTTTGACTTGTCATAGTATTTTTTATTTGCTTTTTGATGTTTTAAGTAAAGAAAATATAATTTTTAAATTATTAGCAATGTATTCTACCATTCACCTTTATTTTGTGCAATGCCAGCTTTAAATGCAAATATCAGAACACTTAACTTCCAAGCAGACTCACCCAAATTACACAATTCGGATTTTGTGACTCATGACTGGAGAATACCATGAAATGGCCAGAAGCGACAAATGCAAGCCAGATTTAAGAGGTTGGCAGGAGAAAGAGAAGTTCCCCCAAGCAGGTCGTAGACCCCAAGAGACTGCTCCTTCACTTATGGGGACCCTCACAGGTAGCTAGAGCCTGCCGTGAAATTTGGAGCAGGTTGGGCTTGGGGGCTGCTCAGTTCCTTTTTCCAGTTACCATGGACCCAAGCTGAGACCAGCTCCTGAGAAGTCAGGCCAGACGGCACATCTGTGCACTCATGACTTGACCCCACACCAGCTGATGGTGGCGGGCGAGGCAGGGAGCAAGGGTACTTCAGTGCTGTATTGGGTACTGGGCAAGAGGCTCACCCCTGTAGAAACATGGCCTTTGCTGTTCAGCCAGACATGACACAGAGCTGCAAGCTGAGCACCACAGGGTGAGTGAACCCTCCACTCACCTGCTCCAAGTCCCCTACTGGCTGGCGTAGTGGGCAGGGCAGTGGCAGAGAGAGCGGGATGTGGGAGGGCAGGTGGTGGGAAGCAGAACAAAGACTCTAAGCTCCATGCTCTGCCACGTGCTCCTTTGTCCCATGACCCCATGGACTTCACTTACAATGTACAAATTCTAAGATAAAATTTAAAAAACAAAAATTTATAACTATGTGGTGATACATGTTAACTAGATTTATGAGGCTGTTCATTTTGCAATATATAGATAGAATCATTATGTTGTGCATCTGAAGCGGATATAATGTTCTATGTCAATGATCTTAATTTAAAAAATGGGTTTCGGGCCTCCCTGGTGGCGCAAGGGGTTAAGACCCAACCTATGACGCTGTCTGCAGCCTCTTCAACACGAGTTTGATTCCCCAACTAGCCAGGGAGCAGATGCCCACATGGCACAGCAGACCTCTCCTGACTCGCCTGCTGCTCCCCTCAGCAGTGTATTACAGTCAATCTGCCTGTTCTGGTCCCCACTCTGTCTCTGGTGACTTCTCTCACCCCCCATGCCTCTGGCCTATACCCCAGCTCTTGTGTGCATAGATAAATAAATCGTAATAAATAAATAAATAAATAAATAATGGGTTTCAAGATGGAGACTGCAGACCAGTAAATGCCAAGCTTGGGACACTACTGGGTGCGGGGTCCTGTAGGAGCGTGACCCCACAGATTGTATCCCCCTCAAGCTGCCTGTGATGCCACCTCTCTGGGTCCTGTGTTTTCCTGAGGCGCCACCTATGACACCAGGCATCAGGCATGTCGTTCGCCATCAGATTCTTTAGCATTGCCCAGGTCTGTGCCCAAGTCCCGCTTATGAAAGATCATTGCTCCAAGATTTATTTCTTAAGGATGAACTTCGGACAATTTGGGGTAAACAGAATCTCCAGCCATTGGTATAAAAGGCTGGGAGTGAGGAAGCAGCTGCCTAGCAGAGAGGAGAACTCTGCCTAGAACGAGCGGGATTGTGGGGACCACGGCTGGGTGGCTCTCCAGTAACGCTGCCCTCCGCCAGGGCTTTGCCTTCATGGCACTTAGCAAATCGTAATTAACATTTTAATTAATGGAGAAATTATTTGTTTAAAGCCCAAGAGCTCAGGGTCTGAGTCATGCTATCCTGCTGCATACCCAGGGCTGCTCATGGTAGACGCTCAGGAGCCCAGGAATGAAAGACTGAACCCCTGCCTGGGGGCTCCTGCAGTGCCCCCGTGAGAAGGGATTGAGAGAAATGGCAGAGCAGCACACGTTATTTGTAGCGTGTTGTAAATATATTAATGTTTTAATTACCTCCTTAATAAATTGCTTATGATTCATTCCATAGAGGGAGCTGGAAATTCATGGAACACTGCCTGTTGTCATCTTGAAGTTCTGACTCTAGGACAGCCCCCATGGCTTTGTAGACACCTGATGGAGCCCCTGACCACAGCCCTGACTCTGGTGCCCGTCCTGGATGAGGGCTGGCGGTGCCCCCAGGCTGTGGGGCAGACCCAAGGCTGGCTGTAGGTGAAGAACTCTTGCTCTCTCTGCCTGACTACCAACCATACCTCCTCCAGGTCTCAGGTCTCAGCTGCTCCTCTTGGTCCTGCAATTGAAATTAAGGGTCTGCAATTGAAATTCCAGCTCCCATTCTTTCTTTCATGCCTTGCCACAACCTAGCACCATTATGGACCATTTGGTCCCAAACTGGTAGATTTATTGTTCAGCGTTTGTCCCCTCTTCATGAAGGAAGGCCATGACAATTTCACCCCCACCTACCAATTTTCACACCCAGAAGCCAACGTGGCCCCTGGCACATAGTAGGTGTTTAATAAATTCTCACTGACCAAATGGATGACTAAATGCTCTATTACACCCCATCACCAGTCCTGTCCCCTTCTTGCCTTAGTCACCCCCGAGGCTGGAGTGCCTCGGGGACAGAGGACAGAAGGGCTCGCTCACCAGACAGCCCTGTTTCCGGCCCAAAGAGAAAGACCCTTAATCCTCCCTCCTCCAGCAAAGTGGCCTTGTTGTACCTTTGGATTAGGAAGGTTTATTGAAGCGGCAATCATCGTTTAGAGAGACAGTCAGTGAGCGCAAACCAGACAGAAGAACCCGAGGTTATTGTTAAAATATGCAAATCCACAGCCCATTGAAATGCAAACCCTCCAGATAAGATTTTTTAATAAATCTGGTTCTGCTCCCCCTTCCCACTCCAGGAGGCCATCTGCTGCTCGTTGGGTCAGGACACATACTGGCATGTAGGCCCTGTCAGCTCTTCACCCCTTTCCTCATCTAGAATGTCCAGCTGGGAGCTCCCCTGGGTGGGGCTGGCTGCTAGTCAAGGCCTGGGATCAGTCCCTTGGGCAAAGTGCTTGAGGTCACTCTGGGTCACCCAATGAGACATCTCACCCTCTCCCAGTGCTGGATACAAGGTGCTCTTTTCCTGTTCTTCTCTTCCACCCTCACCTTATCCTGCCTATAAAGCAGAGACCTAAGGCTTTGTGGCTTCCTCCACCAAATCTTCAGTGATTGGGGCCACCCAATCACACCTGTCACTTTGCAAGCCAAGACCTCTGGAAACACTTTGGTCTGCTGCTGTCAAAGGTGACCCTCAAGGGGGTGAAGGGAAGCCCACTGAAAAGCAGCACAGGCCACCAGATGTCACAGTGACATGACTGAGACTCAGCCCAGCTACACCTGCTGACTGAGTGATGACACGGAGTGTGCTGACCTGCCTGAGCTGGGGGCCGGGAGCATGAGTGACCAGCGCAGATGATGGCACCAAGTCCTTCGCATGCTGCAGGCCTGTGCTTTTGTTCTTTGGTCCTTCCCAAAGCCCAATGAGTCAAGGGAGAAACTCGTGGCTGGTAGGGTGTGGAGGGGGCTGGGCACGCAGGGGCAGGAGTAACCACAGAGGACTGAGGACTGAGGTGAGCTGAAGGAAGGGCCAAAAAAAAGAAAAACAAAACACAAGGAATTTATCCACGAGAGGATCAAGCAGAAGAGGGGTGACCTGGTGTGTCATGAAGAGGATTTGAGCTTGTGCCCTGAGCAGCGTTGCCATGTTCAGAAAGATCAAAGGGCCATCGGTATGGGCAGATGTTTCTCGGGGCTGTGGCAGGTGAGGTGTGCTAGACTGGACCCAGCGAGAAGTCACCGAGGTGGGCTAGTGTGGTTATGTGCACAGGGGATCAGAATGTACCTAGACCCCAGAGAGAGGTTTAGATCAGGAATGACCAGTGTTACTTATCCAGGTACCTTGGTACCTGGCCTCCTTCCCATCAGCGGGAAGAGAAAAATCCAGCACTTCTGCAGCTGCGTTTGATGGGTTGAACTAATACCCCTCCCAGTTTGACTTTAATTTTTGGTTCCACACTGGACCCTGTAGCCCCAGCCCAAGCCTGGTCTTATGCATCTTCCACTCGGGAGGGGGTCTGGGCATGAAGGGGGTCAAATCCCAGCATTCTGAGCGGCAGGGGCTAAGCAGACAGCGCTGGCCCTCTCGAGGTTTGCTAACACACTGAGCCGCCGCTGGCTGGCGCTCCAGGCACGGTGGCTGGGAGCTTTGTGCAGCGACAAGGAGGTGGGGCGGGCACAGAGGCATCAGTTCCCGAAGGCACAAACAGGCCCCTGGCAGTTGCTATGCAACAGGCTGCTCTGCTCTGCCGTGTCCAGAGAACAGCGGCAGCCCAGATGGAGCCTATTGGTGGGACTGCTGGGGCTGCCCCCCTTCTCTGCGCTTGCCTCTCCCTCTCCATCTCTCTCTGAGCTTCCCCCCCTCCTCACTCTCTGGAATCTAAGTTTACAGAAGGCTTTTCCCTCACCCACAGGGCAGGAGGTGGGTTGGTATAAACAAAGAAAGTGTCTCCTGTCCCTCTGGGGCTGGTCAGAGGTCACCTCTGCTAGTCAGGAGAGAGGGACTCCCAATCAGCTTTTTGGTTTCTCTTGTCTCTGCCCCACTGTAATGGGGTTGGGTGTGGGGGCCATCTGTGTGGGCTGCCGTCGGTGAGGTGGACGGGATGGGACACAATGAAATTGGGGTCAGGGGAGACCACCAAGGCATCCCTGCTCCCCGTCAGGGCCCCTTCACGTCCATGTGGCCAAGGACAGCCTGTTTCTTTGTCTCCCAGCCCATATCTGTCTCACTCACTCCCACCAACACACCAGGGGTGCCCTGGCAGGGGTGGGTGGACCCTTGTGTCCTAATAAAGATCTGTTGCCATGGAAACCAAGCTCATTAGCCTGCAGGGCCAGGCTGGGTCGCTACCCTCTTCAGGGTGAGGGGCTGTGATTTTTTTTTCCTTAACAGTAGTAGAGAGATAGATATTCTGGATGAAAGAAGCCCTAACTTAGGTGGGAGACCTGGACTTCAGGCCTAGTTATGCCATATATTTGCTCATATGAGATGGGCAGTTAAGGCATTGCCTCTCCCCCAAACCCCTCAACATGAGGTATGAGTTGAAAACATTGAACAACCTCTGGGGAAGAGCTGGGAGGGGGTGTGGGGGGTGGGGACATCATGCTCTACTTAGGGGCAGGCATACTTGAGCCTATGGACTTCTGACCCCTGCCACCCCTCAAAGCTTCTCTTCCACCCCATCCCAGCTCTGCTTTCTCTATTGGCCTACTAGTATTGGAACTTATTGTCTTGATGAGCCATGAAATGTATCCATCCATCCATCCATCCATCAGTCCATCCATCCACCCATCCATCCACCCATCCATCCAGTGCTCACTGAACACCTCCATGTGCCTGGCCTTGTCTCTGGCACAAGAATGGCACAGCAAACTGGACGTGGGAGTCCCTCCCTCCAGGAGCTCACTCCCTGTCCAGAAGGGCCTTGCGGAAGGGGTGCTCAAGCCCGCCCTGCCTGGGTGCCAGCGGCACACTGCGTTTTGGGTCATCAGCCATGCAACTGTCCAAGTGCTCAGGCCCACAGCCCTGCATGTGGCAAGGGCCAGGCACCCACTCCCATGGACGTCCCTTCCTCGGCAGCAGCAGGTGGCTCTTTGGTGTCTGTCGCACCTGACAGTGTTGGGGGGGGCGGTCTCTCCTGCCGGATATTCTAAATCACACAGGTCAGCTGTAATGCCTAGAGGGACCCATGTTACCAGCCCAAGGCCGCGTCCCCTCATTTCCCCACATCCACAGGGCAAATAAGCCCGTCTCCCAGAGGCTACCCGCTGCTCTGCAGACCTGAGTTTCTCTTCTCCTACCTGAACAGGAGCACAGCCCTCCCTCCACCCTGGGAGCTCACACTTGACGGACAGCTCTTGGGAGTGGGGCTCCAAATTTGGGGAGGGGGTCTCTCTAGCTGGGTCTGACCTTTCCCCACCGCCGTGGAGCGGCTGCCCTCCTGATGGACACCCGGGGCTTCTTAACAAGCTGAGCAGGTGGGACAGAGAAGGGGAGTCGGCAACTGCCTTGTGAAGTTGCCCAGGGACCCCCCCTTTGTGCTCTCCATGGTCCTCTTTCTCTTTCCTTCAGCCTGTCCTCAAGTCTGATGCTCCCACTCCTGCTGCTCCCCTCTGCGGCCCCCCAGATTGGCGCTGGGAATGTGGACCTTGTTGCCAGCCTGAGACCCCTCCACGGCCAGGAGAGGGGCCCTCCCTGCCCGCTCCTCCTCCCCCGCCCCGGGCCCTCTCCTCCCTCCCTCCAGGGTTCAGTCGGAGACCTGCAGACACGGTCCCCAGGTAAGCGGAAGGGAAGAACAAAGCCCACACCAAGTAAATGACAAATCTGGAGGAAATTGCTCTTAATCCCCACACCACAGCCCGGTGATGCCGACCAAGCGCAGACCTGAGTCATCCTAGAAATGGCACCGACATTTGCTTTTTGGAATTTGTTTTGTCTCTGGGCTTTAGATTTAATCATTCTCCCTCTTTCTCGCCCAGCCCCCCCCTCCCCCACCCCCCGCCACTCCCTGGCCCTCGCCACCCGCTTTCTAACGTGAAGTGGTACCGCCAGCTCATCCAAGTCTGTTTTCCTGGCATTAATTAACACAGCTCTCCAGCCTCCAACAGTCTAAATGATGAATCAGGTTAAATTCCAGACAACAGCCGCACACCGCTATCAATTAGCCATCTCCGGGGCAGCTTCATTAATAAGCATCGATCACGGCCCTCCTCCCGGAACACGCCAGGGTCTCCAGGTCACGGGCGCCGCCTAGGAGTGTGTCAGGCTTCGGTGGGAGTGCGTGTGTGCATGGGGACTGGGCTGCATGTCAGGGGGGTACATATGAGCGGGTGTGTGAGAATGTGGGTGACTGGGCGGTGCCTGTGTCATAGGTGTGTTTGCAAGTATGTGTGTACATGGGTGTGTGACGTGTGGCCCGTGGGGTGTGAAGAGTTTGCACTGCAGGCTGATGTCCCCTCCTCACATCTAGCACACCCGCTTCTGTTTCTCTGCCCATTCCTCTGCCATCAGCCCCGGAATACCAGGATCTCACAGGTGCCGGGGGAGGGGAGGGGTGGGGGTATTGCAGGGGTGTGGGGACACTTACTCTCCTCTCTCCCCCGAGAGCTCTTGCCCATTCCTTTCCAACTTGCACTCCATGCGGGCAATTCTGACAGCCCCTCTTTCTCTGACACAGCCTGTTAGTCCTTCTCCCTGGTCTGGCCCACAGACAGGTATGCACGACCTCCAGCCCCAAACCTGACTCCCTCCCTGGGTTGTCTGGCAGGGCTCAGGAGCCAGGCTCACACCCTTCCACACCTTTGGCCCCCAGGCCAAGCCAACCCCACTTCAGGCACCACCATCCTCAGTCCACATTCTCCCTTGTCCCAACTTGTTCCAAAGTCACTGCAGGAAGCTGGACCATCTAGAGTCCCTGGGGGGCCCTTCAGGGACTCTGCCTGTCCTTAGGCCAAAGTCCGCTCTCTCCACTGCCCCAGGAGAACTTGCTCACTGCAGGGTTCCCCGCCAGGCTGCACCCCCTAAGGGCCGCAGCAATGGCTGTGCTCCCCCTTCTCTCCTTCATACAGTTCCTCTGCTTGACCTGCTGTGCTCGCGAGTCACCGGAGCATTGCCGAAAGCCTGCCTTAAGGGGGATGGCTGGAGGGACCCCCAGCTTGCACACGGGATGGTGTGCGCAGACAGCCCCGGCGTGTGCGCACATGCGCGAGGTTGGCCGCCCAAGGAGGCCACCAGCAGATCATCTCCTCAAAGGTTAATTAAGAATCTGAAGCAGGACAGCGTGGTGCGGCCCGGCGACGGGATGCGGCGTCTCTCCAGACCATTAAACACTAATTAGGTTTAGAAAGTCTATCGAGCTCCTGAGGTCTGGTCAAGGCAGGCGCTCGCCCCGGGGGTGCCCTTCCAAATGCCAGCACTGTCACCCCTGACGCCCCCCACTGACCCACCTGACCACTTCGCGACCCCAGGTCTCCGGCCAGTCCCGTTTCATTTCTCTTCATCTCATTGTCCCCCCGCACCCTGGCTGCCTCGCTGCTCTGCCCCAGCTCACTGCCGCTGCCCAGCGCCCGTCCAGTGCCCTCCTCCTTCGTGCAAACTTTTCCTCTCAGGCAGGAGCATCGCCTAAGCCGCTGTTTCCTCCTCAGCGGCTCCAGGTCTGGGGCACAGGAAGGTTACCTGGGTGCAGAGCTGGGCTGGGCCCCCGTGTGCCCCATCCCAGGGAAGAGGAACATGGGGAGAGGCTGGGTCCACCCACCACTGGGCATTCTGAGTGCAGGCGCCCTCCTGGGAATTCTCCTTACCCCGCACTACCTGGAAGGTCCTTTCCTGAGGGTGCTGGCCTGGTTGCTCCCGGCCCCCAACTCTGCCTTCTTCCTCTCAAGCCCCCGCAAGCCTTCGGCTTGGCTCTTCCAGAGAGGCTCTTCCGGGGATCTAATTTCATTCCCCGCTGCTGAATTCAATAAGCGAGGCCAACAGGAAGCTGTTCTGGATGCATTCATTCATTCATTCATTCATTCCTGCCCTCATTCCTTCAGGCACACCCTGCCTTGCTGTAGAAGATCTTACAGTCAATAGGCCCCTGTATGGAGGCTCTCTTTACCCCCAAAGCCTCTGGAAACTGCAGACGGGGCCCTTGGAAGTCAATTTTCCATCATCCCCACGAAACCAATCTTTAGCACAAATGGCCTGTCATAGAGTGAAGGAATTTTCCACCCAGTGACAGGAGGGTGCTGAGGTCCAAATCTACCACGAGGGAGATCACTGCACCCCCTGGGCCTTCCAGGCCACTGGACAGAAGTGCCGGTTCAGTTCTTCTAGAAAAGTTGTAAAGGAGAAATAAGTTTATCTCCAGAACACCCGGCATGTCTGTCTTTTACCGTGACTTTATGATAGCGACCAGCGTGTCTGAAAAACAGCCACCGTCATTACTGTTACCGTCCGTCACCACGGCCACCATCACCACCTCTGTCACCATCACCAGTCACCACAACTGCCACCATTGTCATTCTCACAGCTGTCACATCACTAGTATGTTAACTCAAAGGCATATCACTAATGGTGGAGTTCTGGATACAGGACGGGTGGGGGAGATGTTTTGGGCGGGTGAGCGGGCAGCCCCCTATAGCCTTTCTACACCCATCCCAGGCTGCATGTTGTCATGGCAAGGACACAACTGGCTCTGCTGTGACCTGCTGTGTGATCTCAGCTTAGCACTTAACTTCTCTGGGCCCCAGTTTTGTGGGCTTGAATAGATAGGATAGTTATGTGGTGAGTAAAGCAAAGCATGTGGCCAAAGCACCTAAGACCCAGCTTGATGTAGGTTCATTTGCTGCCTTCCAGCCTCACCTTTGGTCCGTGCCCTGCACCCCTAGCCAAAGAAGGCTAGGAAAGAGATGGGCAGTGTCCCATTGTTTGGGTCTCTGCTCCAACCCTGGTTAGAGCCCCCAGGGGCTCCAGTGTCCTCTGACAAGCAGGCTGAGTGGGCCCGTGGGCACAGGAGGCACAGCCCAATTTTATAAGCACAGAGTATTATGATTGCCTTGATTTCCATCATAAATCATATTTCCTATCTTCTGCCTCGCTCTCCCACGTGCCCTAAGTTAAGCCTTGGTATTTTCTTTAGCTGCTGCCACTGTCGAGCCTGGAGATGATATTAGGATAATGATGATAAATTTTACCCTGCTGCCAAGCCACTCCCTCAGAGTGGGGAGGGGAAGTATTTGTTCCCCAAATGGATCCCTTTATTGCAAAGTGGGAACTTCTGCCCAGCTGGGGCCAGGGTGCTTATCTGAGCGCGGCTGTGTGGTCCTTTGCTTTTGACACGTGAGGCACATTTGGGTGCCCATGCATATGTGCAAACGCATGGGACATGTGTGTGCAAAGCTCTTCAGGCCTCTCTCCCAGGGTGTATTCTGTATGGACACAATGTTGTGCTCCTGCCAGTGAATGGGCAGTGCGGGAGGGAGCAAGAGGTTGAGGGTACAAGGTCTGCATTGAGCCTCCCAAGGGGCAGCCATTCTGTACCCAACCTTGGCATTCCCAGTGACTTGGCATTCTGCATGCTCCATGGTTGCCCCATAGAATCCCTCCCACATTGCATTGTCTGCCACATTTTCCTGCAACTCCCAGGCTGAGGAAATGCAGCAGCACGCAGGCTGGATCACTTATTCTGACCTCAGAAATGCCACCTGCGTTTGGAGGGTGATAGTGGTTCATGGCTCTCTGAGCTCTCGGGCTTATGCTTTTGCCAGTGGGGTTGCCAGTGGGTCTCTCATGTGGGCAACAAGATACTCAGGTACCAGGTGCAGCATTTGTCACGAGGCTGTGGGCTAAAACCTAGGTGGGTAGGGAGCACCAGGGGAGTCTATGACTTCTCTGAGTTGGGGATTGGCCTTGGAGCAGGAAGAAGATTGAGTAGGGACATGGTCTTGTGAAGTATTCCAGAGCCCACTGCTCTCTCCCATCTCACATCCCCATGGTCTATGCCTCTCCACCTTTTGCACCAGGCCTGGGGCCCTTGGGTAGGGACCTGTCAGGTTTTCTCAGGCGGTCACATGAAACACGCCTTTCTCTTAAAGAATGTGTTCAGGCTGAGAAAATGACAGTTAATCACAGACTCAGAGATGACAGGGATCTAATCCCACCACCCACAAGTACTGGCACCATCTCATGGTGTGCTCCAGGGCTCATGCAGCCCCTGGCTTGAATGCCTTCCGTGATGGGGAGCTCACCACCAGGAGTCACATGTCTCTTAGATACGCTCTCACTGGTATTCAGCTGAAGCCTGGGCCTCTTGTGCTGCCACCTTCTCGGATCCCTTGTATTCACACTGGAGATGCTTAATTTCTCTTCTGTAGGGCAATTGTTAGAGTAGGGATTCTGTGAGAATCACCTGGGGAGCTGGATCCCTAATAAAAGGTGTGGTCTCTGTGCCAAATGGTAGGAAATGGATCCTAGCATGTGAAGAACAAGCTCCCTGGTGTGGCTGTTGCCCTGCGGGGTCCTTGTTGGGGAGGCATGCAGGTTGGGCTCTCCCTGGGCAGTCAGCAGCCGTGGAAATGCTACAGGAGCAGAGGGGGAGGTCACATCGGATTCTGACTGCTGCAGACAGGAGGATAAATCTGGGCCCCGGCCCACGTAGGGAACTCACATCTAGGTGGAACTATGTGGGCTACTCAGACATAAGAGAAGAACATCATTTGAACCCACATTTTAGGGAATGCTTGCCTCATAGCAGGCACTAGTAAGCCACCCTACAGAAAAATAGCAGCACAGACACACAGACAAACACAGACACACAGATACAAACACAGACACAGGCAGAGGCACTTGGGAGCCGCTCCAGCCCCTCCTAAGTCCTCTTGTTCCCTTCTCCAGACCATGATAACCTGGGTACTGCCCATACCCCTGGGGTTCCTGAGAGACAGCAACCTCCTCTGAGCAGCTGCAGCTTGGAAAATGCCAGAGCAGCCCCCTGGCTGGCTCCAGGGGCAGCCTCCCTACTCACGAGACAACTGACCACAGCTGCGGCTGGTGGGGAGCGATGCTCCCTGCCCACAGGGCTGGGGGGCAGCTGGGAGGCAGTGTGGAGCCGGCTGAGGGGCGGGCATCCCTGGCCAGTGCTCTGCCCTCTCTGCTCCCCAGCAGCCCTGCCCAGCCCAGGGAGCCAGACCAGGGGTGGGAGGAGAGGGATCCCTGCAGCGAGTGCCTGGGTAAGTTAAGCTCTTTGAAGCTCAGCGCCTTCATCTGGGAGATAATGGGGGAAGTGCTGGCTGGTGTGTGTAAAGATGTGTTGTGAGCCTCACGGGACAAAACCAATGCTAGAGAGTGTGTTTAATTTTACTCTTCCTATTAGTGTGAGGAAGCCCCTTGGGTGATAACGAGATGGAGTGCTGGGCCCCCAGTATCCTGTCCTCCTGTGGTCCCCAGGGCCTGTGTCTGTGTGAGCACGCACACCAGGGAAGGAGGTGCTGAGAAACCACCTCAGCTCCCACATGGGAGGAGGTCCTGAAACTACGTGGGCACCAGCTGGCTGTGCGAGCTAGTAATGGTGTGCTGAGAACAGACCAAGGCCGAGTGGGAACACACAGAAGCTGTTCCCTGCGGTCGTGCTTGGGCTGGGCTACCAATAGCATTTTCTTCCCTTCTGAAATTTTACTTGGCGTAAAGATGTTAAAAAGAAAATCGTGATTGGGAGTGACTGTACCTGCGTCCATGTGTATCTGCTGCAGTTGTCTTTTGCTGCCCTGTGTGCATTTGGGTGTGGGCCATCACAGTATGACTGGTCACTGGTGATTGTGTGTGCGAGTGGACAGGGAGGTTGCTTCTGGGTGTGACAGCCAAAGGCTCCAAGAAACCTGAAGCCTTGGAAGCTGCAGTACTGGATATTACCACCAGATGGCGCGCAGGTGCAGCCTAAAGGTCAGAGTTGCGGGGTTTTAGGCTAGGCCGGGATTTGTGTTTACTCTCCAAGTGCAACCCAGCCCATGGGGGTGAGGATCCTGATGTATGGGGAGTGGGAGGCAGGAAGGGACCCTCTGATTGCAGGCTGGGCGTCTATGCATGTACACACGGTGGCTGGTCTGTATATAGCATTCTCCTCCCTGCTATGACCATTGGGTACTGCCCACACCCCATGCCCCTGAATACCCCAGCTCTCCTGGAACATGAGTGTGGACAAGCTGGTGGTGTATGGTGTTGGAGCCCCAGCCAGCCTGCCCACTCCTGAAACCCTCACCGTTCACTCCTGCCAAGCTGCCCTGAATGGTGACTTTTTCCTCCCTCCTTTACCCACACAGCTCCCCTTGTGGAAAATAGTATCCTTCGTGCCGACCCTAC